CAAAGCCATCTATGAAAAACCCACCGCAAATATCATTCTCAATGGAGAAAAACTGAAAGCTCTTCCGCTAAGGTCAGGAACATGGCAGGGATGTCCGTTATCACCACTGCTGGTCAACATAGTACTAGAAGTCCTAGCCTCAGCAATCAGACAACAAACAAAAAGAAATTAAAGGCATCCAAATTGGCAAAGAAGAAGTCAAACTATCACTCTTTGCAGATGATATCATACTATATGTGGAAAACCCAAAAGGCTCCACTCTAAAACTGCTAGAACTTGTACAGGAATTCAGTAAAGTGTCAGGATATAAAGTCAATGCACAGAAATCAGTTGCATTTCTTTACACTAACAAGAAGACAGAAGGAAGAGAAATTAAGGAGTCAGTCCCATTTACAACTGCACCTAAAACCATAAGATACCTAGGAATAAACCTAACCAAAGAGGCAAAGAATCTATACTCAGAAAACTATCAAGTACTCATGAAAGAAACTGAGGAAGACACAAAGAAATGGAAAAATGTTCCATGCTCCTGGATTGGAAGAACAAATATTGTGAAAATGTCTATTCTACCCAAAGCAATCTACACATTTAATGCAATCCCTATCAAAATCCCATCCAGTTTTTTCAAAGAAATAGAACAAACAATCCTAAAATTTATATGGAACCAGAAAAGACCTCAAATAGCCAAAGGAATATTGAAAAAGAAAGCCAAAGTTGGTGGCATCACAATTCCAGACTTCAAGCTCTATTACAAAGCTGTCATCATCAAGACAGCATGGTACTGGCATAAAAACAGACACATAGATCAATGGAAGAGAATAGAGAGCCCAGAAATAGACCCTCAACTCTATGGTCAACTAATTTTTGACAAAGCAGGAAGGAATGTCCAATGGAAAAAAGACAGCCTCTTCAACAAATGGTGCTGGGAAAATTGGACAGCCACATGCAGAAAAATGAAATTGGACCATTTCCTTACACCACACACGAAAATAGACTCAAAATGGATGAAGGACCTCAATGTGAGAAAGGAATCCATCAAAATCCTTGAGGAGAACACAGGCAGCAACCTCTTCGACCTCAGCCGCAGCAACATCTTCCTAGGAACATCACCAAAGACAACAGAAGCAAGGGCAAAAATGAACTATTGGGATTTCATCAAGATCAAAAGCTTTTGCACAGCAAAGGAAACAGTTAACAAAACCAAAAGACAACTAACAGAATGGGAGAAGATATTTCCAAATGACATATCAGATAAAGGGCTAGTATCCAAAATCTATAAAGAGCTTAGCAAACTCAACACCCAAAGACCAAATAATCCAATCAAGAAATGGGTAGAGGACATGAACAGACATTTCTGCAAAGAAGACATCCAGATGACCAACAGACACATGAAAAAATGCTCCACATTGCTCGGCATCAGGGAAATACAAATCAAAACCACAATGAGATATCATCTCACACCAGTCGGAATGGCTAAAATTAACAAGTCAAGAAATGACAGATGCTGGCAAGGATGTGGAGAGAGGGGAACCCTCCTACACTGTTGGTGGGAATGCAAGCTGGTGCAACCACTCTGGAAAACCGTGTGGAGGTTCCTCAAAAAACTGAAAATAGAGCTACCCTATGACCCAGCAATTGCACTACTGGGTATATATCCTAAAGATACAAACGTGGTGCTCCGAAGGGACACATGCACCCGAATGTTTATAGCAGCAATGTCCGCAATAGCCAAACTATGGACAGAACCTAGATGTCCATCAACAGATGAATGGATAAAGAAGATGTAGTGTATATATACACAATGGAATACTATGCAGCCATCAGAAGAAATGAAATCTTGCCATTTGCGACGACGTGGATGGAACTAGAGGGCATTATGCTTAGCGAAATAATCAATCAGAGAAAGACAACTATCATATAATCTCCCTGATATGAAGAAGTGGAGATGCAATGTGGGGGGGTTGGGGGGTAGGAAAAGAAAAAAATGAAAGAAGGTGGGATTGGGAGGGAGACAAACCACAAAAGTCTCAATCTCAAAAAACAGACTGAGGGTTGCTGGGGGAAGGGGGTACGGGAGAGGGTGGTGGGGATATGGACATTGGGGAGGGTATGTGCTATGATGAGTGCTGTGAAATGTGTAAACCTGGCGATTCACATACCTGTACCCCTGGGGATAAAAATACATTATATGTTTATTAAAAATAAGTAAATAAATTTAATTAAAAAAAAAAAGAAAAAAAACAACAAAGGTGATCAATGTCATAAATCAAAGTGGTTTATAATGGAAAACATTTTTTACCTTGAATAAAAATTTGGGGACATAATTTCCTTTCAATAACCTGTGCTTAGCCTAATACTAACGATCACCTTATAACATCTGAACATACATCATACCTTTTACATTCATGTACATCCTACATAGATCCTTAACTTTAAAGGACTTTCATACTCTACATTAAATAGAAGTTAAAAGAAGTTAAGAAAGCCCTTAACTCTAATGACAAACCAATTTGGAGGTACAATCATGAAAATAATCGAAAGATTTACCAACCATACAGGATAATGCAAAGACTAAACACAGTGATTTGTAATTCTCACAAAAACTCTGCCAATAGGAGAATATTGTTCACATTCTATAGAAAAGGGTAACATTAAGGCTCAGAAAAGTTAGATCAATACAAGCTTAGTCAAGGTACAATCTGGGTTTCCAACTTTCAGTTGTCAAATGGTGGTACAATAGCTATAAAAACTGTGACACTACCTTGCAAACAATTTTAAACACTCAACAAATATTAGTACATCTTCCTAACATCTTTACTCATTATGAAATATATAAAAAGATATCTTCAGGATTTGAACACAAGTCTGGCTGTACCCAAAACATATTCACTTAACTTTTCTAAGCCTCACTTTCCTCAGGTGTCAACACGTATTTGATGAGAGTTAAGAGGACTAAATAAGACAATGTACAGAACCCTTTGTGCCCAGAGAAATCATATATATTCATTCCACCAAGTCAAAATAATATGCTAATAAATAGAAACGTTCCATGTATTTTAACTGATGAATATTTCTGTCTGAAACAGAAATTAAATCACTGATTAAGTATAACTGAATTAAAACAAAAACAATTTAAAGAATTATGTGAAATTAATAAACTTATTAAACATCTATTATGTGAGATACCAACAAATCATGACTGAAGAAACTCCTACTACCACAATTCCTAATCTTGCCTATGACACAGATTTGCTAATAATTACCAATTCTTCAGGCACAAATCATGTTACAAACACCTTATTCTTTCAAGATTTCACATCAATATATGCTATATGCTTTAAGATTTAGTTCTAAAATTATTGGGACACGTACACAAGAACAAAGCTGGCCAACTTTAAACCTAATGGGTTTCATGCTATACCATGTACACTTGCTGACACCCCAAGATACTGGCAAATAGTTCTGGTGTTCAAGGTGACAGGACAAAAATCAAAGAAGTGCAATATAAAAGCTATGTGGCTGGCATGCAACATGAACCAAAAAGAAAAAAGGGACGGAATAAAGAGGATTAAAAAATTATCAAGAGAGAATATTCAAATATTATACCCCAAATCAAATCAGGTTTGCACAACTTAAAAAATGTGAAATACTCTAAAAGAGAGAAGCACTAGAAGACCTAATTGCTAAGGCCTCATGTAATAAAGCTAATGTGTTCCTCACCAACTCATGAAGAGCAAAACATGAAACAAAAAAAACTTCTCACAAATTTTTCCTACTAAGCTTGAGTGAGTAATAACCAGTAACTCCAAAACCAGACCACCAAATGAGTCAGAATTACTGTATTCAAAAGTCCCATCTCAGTCACAAAATGGCATGGCTGGAAGAAGTCACATCTCCATGCTTGGGGCTGCCTCACCTGAAGAATGAAAGCTGTGACTGATCCATGGGGGCTGCTAGAGAACCGCTAGGGACCCTCTCAAATATTAAAGTCCAGGATTTTATAAATGTTTAGCTAGTGTACTCTTTACGGACAACTCTTCCATCCACTTCAGTAAGAAAGAAGAACTTTATTTTCTGATGTTCTTCTCATGGCATCTTTGCAATAAATAAACACCTTTTCCAAAGTTTTCTGTTCTATAATCTATACTTCTTTCTTACCTGTTGCTCCTCTGGCATTGGTCTGAAATGGATTTGTAGAAGATGCCACAGAAGGACCAGCAGCAGCAACAAATGGATTTGTAGAAGGCGTAGCTTTAAGAAATTACAAAAATACGCTATAAAATCCTAATATATTTGTATTCAGTTATCAAAAATATTTGCTCATACATTAATGAGGACAGAAAACTAGAGCTTTTGGGGGCGCCTGGGTGGCTCAGTGGGTTAAAGCCTTTGCCTTCAGCTCAGGTCATGATCCCAGGGTCCTGGGATCGAGCCCCGAGTCGTGCTCTCTGCTCAGCAGGGAGCCTGCTTCCTCCTCTCTCTCTGCCTGCTTCTCTGCCTACTTGTGATCTTTGTCTGTCAAATAAATAAATAAAATCTTAAAAAGAAAGAAAGAAAATTAGAGCTTTTTGATAAATTGTTGCTTTCATAGTCTTCCAGTATGCCTAAGAAAATGCAATACTATATATAAGCTTTATATATAAGCTTTATATGTTTTATAAAAATCAATCAATCTATCTATCTATATATCCCAGATCTATCTATCTATATATCCCAGAAACACATACCTCCAAATGGAGCAGGCACACTTGAAGAAGCAGGCTGTGTCTGTGCAGAAGCACCCACTGGCACTGTTCCAAAAACATTGCTGAAAACAAACACAGAAGGAGTTCTTTTTATTTTTTTAAAGCAAAGGTAATCAGTCTAAAGGGTGGCCATAAAATGTGGAAACAGGTAATACTGAGAATACCATATATCATAGCAGTTCTTAAACTTTACGTCTCAGGACTCATTTACATTCTGAAAAGTTACTGAGAATTCCAAAGAGCCTTTGTGTAAATGTGCTGTATATTAACAATACGTAAAGAAATTAAAACAGAAAATTTTAAAAATTTCATTCTTTTAAAATTAACCATAAAGCTATTACATGCTCATGTAACTAGCATTTTTATGATAGAGAATTATATTTTCTAAAACCGAAGGAACTTAGCAAAAATCAAAAATTTACATTAATATCACCACTCATTTTATTAGAAAAGTAATGTGAAGCTGTCAAGCTCATGGCAGATTCAAAAATTTTCTAAAATTCTAGTATTTGCTTGGACGTGTGAATTTTATCAGTTATTTTCCTTAAAGTGACAGGCTTAAATATTCATTTTTAAGAAACTTTCGGCCAAATATCCAAATGTGAATAACCATAGAATATCATTCTTACTTTTAAGGAAAACCAGTGTTCCATAAAACAATGGATGTAGTCATTATTATGTGTGGCTGGTTCATTCCACAACTCAAACAACCACACAAGCTGACTTTCCTCAAGTTACACACGATACTTCAACATGCAGCAGAAATTACTTGATAAATACCTTGCTTGAACACATAGAAAGTTAAGAGGACATTATTTAAGGGTCAGGATTTAATAAAATTAGATTTTCTTAGAAGATTTATTTTAGGCAGGGCACGAAAGAGGGGGAGAGAATCTCAAGCCAGCTCCCTGCCGAGGTTGGAGCCCAATGTGGGGCTTGATCCCACAACCCATGAGATCATGACCCAATATGAAACCAGGAGTCAGACATTTAACCAACTGAGCCACCCAGGCACCCTAGTAAAATTAACTGTTTTGTCAAGAATATTTGTAAGAATATATAAATAAGTCACAGGGTAGTAATGTACAGCACAGTGACCAGTCAATAATATTATAGTGCATACTTGAAAGTTATAAAGAGAGTAAATCCTAAAAGTTAGCTATATATGGGGACGGATAGTAACTACATTTACATGATCATTTCACAATGCACACAAACATCAAATTATTATGCTGTATACCCCAAACCAATACTACATACCAATTACACCTCATGAAAATAATTAAAAAGAATATTCATAAGAAAAACTAAATCAAGACTATCCACAAGTAAAACTGAGTATGTGGTGGTAAGAACTATAATGACGATTAGATGACTACTAGTATAGTTTGGTATCACGGTCTTAATTTGTGCTAAAGTGCTGGCAAGTTTTTACTTGTCACTGCTTCTGCACCATCAACATAAATGTCAATACTGAAAACACAAATAACCTGTGAGAACTAGTATGACTTTAGTTTTAATTTCAAAGACCCCTTTGAAAGGGTCTCATGTACCCTAAATGTTCCATGGACCACACAGTGTGAACCACTAATATACTGTAATACAGTATCAATAAACCATTTGTTATGTATACCTATGTTTCCAGACTTTATGGTTACTTTGCTATAGGTCACTATTTCTTATGTCTAACACAAACATCCTAATGAAACAGGATATATATAAATACTCTAAACTTTACTTTCTGGATTCAGTTTTCCTGCTTTATAGAAAATTAATTACTGGAGAATCCAAGTAGTTAGTGTTACAATCTTCCCATTTCTCTCTAGAAAAGGTGCTGAAGGGAAACAAAAAGCTACTCAGGTAACAGAAGAAGAGACAATCTGTAGGATGGGAAACAAAGAGATGGATAAAGCACTGTGTGGTAAGTCACCTGTACTTCTGCATCTGTTTTCTTTTAGAAATGTAAGTTACAACTATAAGAGTTTTTAAAGCTTTCTTGCTGTTAAAATGTGTTAAGACTTCCTGCTGCCAAAAATACCCTCACATCAGATATATTTGAACACAGTTAATGGTATGTCTATGTGTTAATACTAGTAGGATACTGATGAGATACAGAATTGGATCTTGGGTTCTCTTGCAAACATTTCTAAAAATATTTACTTACAACTAAAGCTACAACATGTTACTTTCAGTGTTTAGTCTTCATGACTAAAAACTGTACCTTAAGAGTATATAATTTTCTAAATGGATTCTCTACTCAGTATAAATAAATCTGTATATAACTCCTCACTCTGAGATGTGTACATACCCTCAACTATAACTTTTGTGTTCAAGAAAGAAAAGTAACAAAACCTTTGATTAAATAAAAAGATAAAATGACAATTACTCAAGGATATTTGAATTAGCAAATTAAACTCAGTTTCTGCAAACTATAAAAATATTCAAGAATTTAAAAAATATGTCACCAGTCATTATTTAACATTATTATTCAGAGTCGGAAAAAAAGATAACAACATGAAGCAGGAACACTGACTGAGACAAGGTACCTGCTAGCATTACTTGTGGAAGTATATGCATTACTGGAAGTGGCTGCAGAGCTGAAAACGCTGTCTAGTTCTGCCAGGGCTGCATATTTGTCTGAGGATGCACTTGACTGAGTGGGAACTGAAACCACAGAACCAACAGGAGCTTTACCTGCGGTCCCAAAGCCACTCCCCTGATCACCACCTATAAATGAACAAAAACAAATTATACTGAAATTTTAAGTTATACTTACAATTTATCAACCACATTTGCCATGAAACACGTGTAAATTTAAAGCTGATTTAAAGCTAAGCAAATAAATAGATAGAACTCCATAGTTTTATCTCATAAACTACCTAGAAACCACTGGACAAGATTAATTGCTACACATACCACTGTGGTAGAGAAAAAATACTGTTTCTGTAACAAAAATGAACACTGTAACAATAACATGTCTAGCTTATGTATAAAGAACAAATTCTCAAAGTGCTACAGTAACATCTCCAAAACAGGTGATTCTCATTCAAGTGAATATTCAAATTTATAAAATGCTAGACTCAATGTGAACAACTCATTAATAATATCATTTTCCCAGGGTTGTCCATGAAAAAATTAGAGACAGTAATAAAAGGAAACATTCCCAATAGCACTTACCATGCGCCAGGCACTGTTCTAAAGCGAATGAGATACAACAACACATAAAAAGTTCAATGCTATTACTACCCTCATTCTGGAGATGAGAAAGCATGGTCAGAGATAGATCAGGATGCAGACTCCAGTCCAAAAGCAGACCTCTGCTGTGCTCTACCACACTATGCATTTTGAGAGGCAAAATACTGGCCATAAGATCAAAACCAGCTATAAGTATATACTGTAAAAATAATGGGTTTAGTTGTTTCTTTTTTTTAAATACCAAAATATTAACAGCAAAAATAGTCCAAAATAAATATATTACAAAAACCACCACATAACCCTTCAGTCAGCATTACTAATAGGATTTGTTGGTCCTCCACGGCCTTCTAACAGTGAATCATGCTTTCTAAGACAAAATTAAATTTTGTCATTTAATTTCTTTTAAAATTAGAAGCTTACAAATAGTTTCTAGGACTTCCAAAAGGCCTATTATTGGATTATGGTAAATACTCATGAACTTCTAGTACAGACAAAATTTCTTCACAACTATGAAAAGCATAGTGACCTTAAATTATAATAAATACAACCAAATGTAGAGGACTGTTTAATATACAAATTTGTATTTATTTTGTTTAAAGCTTAATACCTTGCCCAGCACTGAAGATATTGTCTAAATTAGCAAGTGCTGCATATTTGTCCGTAGTCTGTAGACCAGCTTTGTTCGTTGAAACTTTACTAACAGCTGATGCTGTTTGATGACTCTGGGAAGTATTGAAGGTTCCAAAATCAGCACTGGAGGATTTGGGGAAGTTATCAAAATGAGCAAAATTAGCATTTACTGATCCAGCACTTCCACCTGTAACAGAATAAACAAAACACTTAAAATTTCTAGACTTCTCCCAAAATCCTTTGATAGATTATGTGACTTCTTCCTTAATTAAGTGTTCTACAAGCAATCTTATTGGCAAATGGCATTTAACTTTAATCATCTATGTATGACTTTTCATAATTTGGGAAACTACGTTTTCAAAGGCCATGGAAACATGTAGGGTAGCAAGTTACTGTGTATTAATTATCTACACTGAAGTGAAGACTATAATTCACAGAAGAGTAACTCCATGCTACTGGATTTTAAACTCAGTTACTTTATAGACTATTCAGTTATCTATGTACTATCTCTTTTTACTAGTTCTCCCTGAACAGTCTCCATAAGCAAGATGCAAAGTATCTTATACTATAAGTTCTTATAGCTCCAATAGAGACATGGTTGAAACAAATCCCAGGGTACAGATTTAAAATGTTTAAGATGTACTATTTTGATCCACAATTTCTTAAAATGTGGTCTTTGAGCTTTAGGCTTATTTTACTTAAAGAGCTAATATTTAATTCCACATAATAATTTAATATACATAAAATATCATGGCTGTCCTCAGTAAAATCATGCCCTATTATATAGTTCAAAGAATAAAAATTACAGTATACAATGCATAATCTAAATATCATACCAATTTTTTAATTTATAGATCACAATTCACCTAATGGTCATTACTGTATATAGCCTGCTAAGAATTTAAAGACTGTTCTGTCCTCTAGAGACTTCTCTAAAGTACTATGAAAAGATTAAAGCCAGACTATTTCATTCTATGCTTTTGATGCTACATTGTTGGTATTAGTTCTTTACACCTACATATTAGTTTCAGCAATCAAAATTGCATATACAGTTAAATATTAAATGATAGCAAAGCACAATTACAGATATTCTAAAAAACAAAGATACAGTTCTATTGAAAAAAGAGAACACACTTTTCCATCAAGTAGTATTACAGACATTGTAAAATTTACACTGATAAAATATCTTTCAGGAATTAAACTCGAGTTGTTTTCAACAAAACTAATGTGTGTTGATATTTAACACTGTGATCTGTTACAAGTAGCTGGTGAACAAAGTACATAATACTAAGCTTTCAAAATTTGATGAAATTTACTTCAAATCATTAAAAACTCAGTAAGTCAACTCTTTTTTTATATACTATTGTGTTCTCTAAGTCTGAGTTTAGTAATAGTGAAAAGAGAATAAAAGTGAGAATTTCAGAATGATTATCATTAAAGAAGAGTAACATTCTATAACTGAAAAAAATCCATGAAACAACATAAAACATACAAATTAGTAAAAGATGCCTACTTGACAACAGAACTTACTGTTGGAAGCCTGGAGAGGAAAAGCTGAAGTAAATTCACCAAAACTGCAGCTAGATGAAAGAATTCTAAATGCTGGACAGCCAGAAATTATGTAAATGATGGAATTTAAAGGGGAAAAAAAAAAGAAAAATGAAAGAAAAAGCTTTAAGACAATACACAGAGTTAAAAGTTGAAAGAAAAATAATCAGCCAAAAATCTAAAGGAGGGTTCAATGAGATTCTGAAAACAATACATTTTATGAGAGAGTACTCAATGTTTAAAGACCAATTCCTGCACAGAAAACTATTTCCAGTCTGATTAGAGTGACTGTTCAATGGTCTCCTTTTGACTACTAGTATTTATCTTCTCAAGCTTGCTGCCCTGAAAATTGCTTATATTTTTCTATCTATGGAAGCAAACCATTAGCTTCCTTTATTCAGAGCCTAAATCAATGTGGCCTGAGATTCCAACAAATTTTTATCACTGTACTGCTCCCGTGCATAAAGAAATTTAAGGGAGATTCATATGCAGGAAAAGGAAAAGAGTAGACACTGAATTAGACAACACACCAGATAATTTAAAACAAAACGAAACAAACAAACAAAATGAACATGGAAAAAAATAAAGATTTCAGGTTTCCCCAGAGCTTTGTAAGGATTATAGAATTTAAGTTCAGAATAATTCTTCAAACTATATCTAGAGAGTTTTGTGTTTTAAAGTAAACATTGAAGCATAATGCCAGAGAAGCTCTACCTGTAGTTTGGGGCTGAAAAGGAGAGTGACTCGCTGTGGGGAAACCTCCAAAATTACTCGAACCACTAGACTGTCCAAATGCATCAAAGTTTGCAAAATCTGCATTTGCAGAATTCTGAGCTGTAAATGGTAAGGAACAATATATGTTAATGAATATGAAAATTATAAATGAAAAATATGACAAATGAAATTTTGTGAAAAGTTTCTGTCTCACAACTCACTTTAAAGAGAATTCATTTAGAAATCAAATCTTAAATCCTACCAGTGTTTACTGAACCTACTTTCAAGCAATTCATTAAAAAGTATCCCAAAATTTCCCCACTTTGTATTAACAATAAATGTGTACATACACAATACACTTTGAACAACCTCAAGAATAGTACAATAAAAGTGATTCTATTAAATGAAACTCTAAAAGCATTAAATACATGAATTACAGTAATGTAAACAGAGATGTAAGATTATAGATTACACTCTGGGAAATTCAGATTTAAAATGATAGTAAGTGACTCATCAGCTATGTGAATCTAAAATAATGATACAAAGAAGGTTAAATTCCTTTAATATTCTTTTGGGTTTTTCTCTAAGCTTACAACTATTTTACACCATGGCATATAAAAATAAAAAAACTGAATGTATAACAGGGACACGATTGCCAAACAAATCAAAGATATTCACATTCTGTTAAAAGCCTGCCATTCTTCACATATATTAAAATTTGAGAATTGATGAAAACAGTAAAATTTATATCATTAGTGTACCTCAGACTCAGTGAAAAAGACCCAATTGGTATCTTCCCACAGGTCACCAACAAAAAAAGAGCAAATTTTTAGGCTTCTCTAAACTTAAAATATGTAGCTAAGTAAAATAATACAAAAGTTTTTTTTTTAAAGGCTAAAATGGATGTTGAATAAGATTTTTATAGAGAATATAATGAGAAGTGGCTGGTATGCAGGAAAGGGAATGTTAAGTGGGAAGAATGAAAAGCATGCCCAAAAGATAAAGGTTAAATGCCAACCACATAGTAAAAGTCAGCCACTTTAAATCCTTTGCAGGCAGTATCACTTCAAGGAAGTTCCTGTAGAAAAAATCTTGTAAATGAGTATGGCTATATCTAACAGTTAAACAACATGTGTTTTATAATAATGAAAAAAATCAAAAACTCAAATGGCCAGTAATGCAGGATCACTTAAATATACTACAGAACACTGTAGAAATATAAGGCAGCCATTTAAAAAAAAAAAAAAAAAATCACATAGAATACGTAGTTCTATTAAAAAATGCTTATCACAAAGTAAGTAAGATAAATAGGTTAAATAAATTCCAAATACATTTTCATTTGCCAATTTTGTCAGCATGGTATCACATGCACGGAAAATCTGTATTTTCATTACCCAAAGTAGTGAATTTCCAGATTGGTTATCAATTGCTCCTTTGTTTGCTTGAGTTTACTAACCTTTTGCAATAAAATTGTATTCTAACTTACACAACCCCCAAAAAAGTTACTAAATAAGAAATTTTCTAACAAAGTAAAACATTATCCTAGGAAGATAATCAGGAAAACTTACAGCATTTTATGTAATTACGCTTTTGTGTCTATCTGAAAGGGTATGACTGCAGCAGGGGGAAATGCACCTAAAGTAGACCTCTTTTTACTAGACACCCGAGCCACTTCCCTTCCTATGTCCTCACATCTAGCACGTCTGACAGGTAGAAGTACTATGCTATATATACATATCACTACTCACACTCTGTTCTTGAAAAATCTTTTTTAAACACATTTGTCCTAGCTCTCAAACATTACACAGTGGTATCTAAATTAAAAGGCTGCTTATTACATAACAAAATAAATTTTGCATTTTCTGGATACTCTGAAGTCTTTTTGTTATTATTTCTACTTCACATGATAAAATTCAATTTCTTTACAGGCTGATATTTTACTTTCCCAAAAATAAATACAATGAAAGATAAACTAATAAGTTATAAATAAAAGATCAATGTATTGAAAAATATTTTGGAAGAAATATGTACACAAGTTTAAATCATAAATATAAGTTTAAACCCAGTTACCACTTAGTATAACCAAATAAGCTTGTGAAAAGGGAATCTAAAATAATCAGAGAACTCCATCTTAACATAAAAACTGTACAGCCTTGGGGCACCTCAGTGGCTCAGTGGGTTAAGCCTCTCCCTTCAGCTCAGGTCATGATCTCAGAGTCCTGGGATCAAGCCCCAATTCGGGCTCTCTGCTCAGCAGGGAGCCTTGCTTGCTTCTCCCTCTCTCTCTCTCTGCCTGCCTCTCTGACTACTTGTGATCCCCGTCAAATAAATAAATACAATCTTAAAAAAAAAATTGTATAGCCTTGGACAAGTCCCTCAACTGCTCAAGCTCTACCAGTTTTTTCACTAGCAAAACAATAGGATTCAGTAAATGGACTGTACTTACAAATCCAGCAGTATGACTACAAATTCGGCATAAGATTCTATAACTTATAAGACAACAGGAATTCATTTTTAATAACTTTGGAATACTAGGCCCAGAAGAGGAAAGTTCTACTAAAAGACAAAAGAAGTCGAATATTTAACTTATAAATAATACAACTATCAACCAAAAGAATAAAAGAATATGGTACAGGAAGTTCTCAAATTTAGAGTAGGTTATATTTCAAAAGACAAGTTCTAAGTTTTTTGAACAACCTAGTTGTACATTTGAGAGTAAATGAAATGGATCTATACCTTGGAGAAAAAGGAATTAGGTCCCTAAGCTGGTTCATCACTTATAACCTCCAATATATATGAGTATATAGTCTACAATAATATATATTCTACAGTTAACTTATATTTAGACCATTATAGGGAAAATATACATTTAACACGTTTGAAACATCATCAGGAAACAAATCAGTTCAACATAATCCAATTTGTTAGTCAAGTCTACTTTATCACATTTATAAACACTGATGTTTTCCAACCAGAGCACCAAACACATTAATCAAATACCTATTCATTAAAGCAAAGCAGGGCTTTGTAATGCTTCTTTCAGTTTCTATATGGAGACATTGAATCTACTCAGTGTCTTCAACAACTGGTTATAGTAACTTTTAAAATTGTTAAGTAGCATAGAATGAAATTTTAAAAACCACAATTTTGGGGACGCCTGGGTGGCTCAGTTGGTTGAGCAGCTGCCTTTGTCTCAGGTCATGATCCCAGCGTCCTGGGATCGAGTCCCACATCGGGCTTCTTGCTCGTCAGGGAACCTGCTTCTCCCCCTGCCTCTGCCTGCCATTCTGTCTGCCTGTGCTCGCTCTCTCTCCCTCTCTCTCTCTGACAAATAAATAAATAAAATCTTAAAAAAAAAAAAAAAAACCCTCAGAGGTTCATCACATTTAAAAAAAAAAAAAAAAAAAACCACAATTTTGGAAAATAAACACTAATAAATTCAATAATACAAAATTTACTGTCTGGAACCTCAAGCAATCTCTATACAAAGAAATATAAATTGAACAGAATGTGACAAAACAGGAAATATGCTTTTTAAATATAATCTTATCTCAAAGACCACAAAGAAGTAATCTCAGTTTAAGAATTTAAGACACTAAAGTTAATGAGCCTGAACCTTGTTGAAAACTGTCTTTCATCTCGTGAAAGAGGGGTACTCAGGAGAAAGGAAGATAAACAGAAACCAGAGTAGAAATGGACTGCCTTCATCAAATTCAGCTGAATTTGTTTCACCTACACATTTAAATTTTTCAACCTCAACACTTAGAAAGAGAACATTTCCCATTAAATAAGTAACTTTCTTGCTTCTCTTAAAAGAAAATCAGTGTATCTAGTAATCCTGAGCCTGTGAATCCATGTGGCAACAGGGGATTAGAACATCCCCCTTTGCACGTGGTTCCTTCACTGTATTACTCACTCGTGTTAACTGGGTGGCAAGACAATGAAGTTTAACACCCCTATAGTACAAGGTGTGACAAAAATCAATGACAGTTTATAGTTCATAAGTTTGTGGTACGTTTATTACCAAGCAAAATAACTATTAAATTCTGTAAGTTAATTACATTTCTAACTGCACAAGTACTTCTGTAGAAGTTGACTTTTCCTGAACACAGCAATAACCACACTACTGATATACATCCTCACATACCATGTCAACTAGAATGTTCGGATGAAGATGTCTGGCTTTTAAGCCATTAAACTATCTGAAAACATAACAGGTTTCCCTATAAAATAATGCTAACTAGATTGGCATATTTAAATAATTATCATTTGCTGTTAAAAGTTCCATTTGTCATATCAATCTGTACAGGAGAAAATTTTCACCTTAAAAAGTTTTTAAAGAGGTGCCTGGGTAACTCAGTTGGTTGAGTGTCCAACTCAGCTTTTGGCTCAGGTCATGATCCCTTGGGAGAGTCTGCTTGAGGATGCTCACCCTCCTCTCCCTCCACCCGCTGCACACCTGCTCACTTGCACATCTCTCTCTCAAATAAACAAATCTTAAAACTTTTTTTTAAAAAACATGAAAATTTCGGGGCGCCTGGGTGGCTCAGTGGGTTAAAGCCTCTGCCTTCGGCTCAGGTCATGATCCCAGGGTCCTTGGATCGAGCCCCGCATAGGCCTCTCTGCTTCGCAGGGAGCCTGCTTCCTCCTCACTCTCTGCCTGCTTCTCTGCCTACTTGTGATCTCTGTCAAATAAATAAATAAAATCTTAAAAAAGAAAAAAAAAAAAAAAAAAAGAAAGAAAGAAAATTTCAGGGTGACAACTCAGTTATCAATGATTTGACATTTGTGGACCATACATGGAAAAGTAAAGATTCAGGGTTCTTGTAAAGGCTAGGGGAAAAGACAGAATGGAAAAAGAGGAAATAAATTATTAATTTTCTTAGCTTCCTCTTGTAGTATGTGTATATATTTTATTCTCCTGGGATCAAATGGAGTTTAAAAAAAAAAAAGGTGATTTGAGGGTATATTTGTAAATAAGAACTCCAGGCTAAAAAACTACTCCTCTTAGGCAACCTGACCTAATTGACGTGGTTATTAAACTATATCCTCACAGACTCATCTTTCCTACCGTTTCTACCACATGTGGAAAAGAGACAAAATAGTTAAGATCTATCTTATATCAGTCTGATAAAATTACACATTTCATTTTTTTTAAAACATATTCTACAATTAAATAATAGCTATTATTTTCAAAGAGCATTTTAAAGGAGTTACTGATGCTATGAGTGGAATCATGGTACTAAGCAGCTTGTGAAGCTGCACTGGCCTGCATAACTATTTCTGGCTACCTATTTTTGGCTAACAAGGCTACCTGGAAGAATACAGCATTAACTCCCTGAATGGTGAATATTCACAAATTGCATTTAAAGACAAAAACACACGGGAAACATGAAATAAACTGAAAATTTACAAAAGAAATTGGTAGTTACTTGTCAGTCACACCAAATTGTATTTCAGTAAGTATAAAATTGAAATAAATGCAAACTATTCATGAATTATAGAAGGTTTCACTCTATATTCTTAGATTCTTTAACTCCTTTTGCCAGCATTCAAAAGCAACAGGTGGCAACAGAGAGCTGGGGGCTCACCTACCACAGCCCCAACATCTTAAGCTTCCTGATTTCTTACCCTTCTCAGTATAAACTTTGCTGAGAAGATATCCTCTTCATCCTAGGATCCCTTTTTAAAGCAAACATACATAAATTACACCATAATTTCCTTCTGGAGCAGGCCCTTAGAAAATACTTTCATTAATACTTATTTTTCCTCATTAATATTTAAAACAAAAACTCTTTTAATGCTGGCTAAAAAGAAATGTGGGTGAAGAGCAGCTTTTCCATAATTTTTTGAACTACCTTAAACAGTACATTTTGGGTGTGTGTATGTGTGTGTATATATATAAAACATATATATACATATGTATACATATGTGTGTGTGTGTGTGTGTGTGTTATACTTCATACCATTATTATCCAACTATATAAGCCACGTTGTCAAATTAAAAAGAAGGGACGGCATCACAATCTCACTGGTGAATAAAAGAAGGTAAAGTAAGTTCTAAAATACAAGTAGGAAATCAATTCTGTTAAGTGCTAGTTTCTGCTATGCTCACAAAATAGTAAAAAAGTTTTGGAAAGATAGTCTTGAATTTTTCTTGATTATTTAATTGAAGTTATGAAAATCAGTGACAAAGAAACAGTAAAAAAACATGAGCTAAGGGCGCCTGGGTGGCTCAGTGGGTTAAGCCTCTGCCTTCGGCTCAGGTCATGATCTCAGGGTCCTGGGATCGAGTTCCGCATCTGGCTCTCTGCTCCGCAGGGAGCCTGCTTCCTCCTCTCTCTCTCTCTCTCTCTCTCTGCCTGCCTCTCTGCCTACTTGTGATCTCTGTCAAATAAATGAATAAAATCTTTAAAAAAAATGAGCTAATACACTAAACATACATGCAAAAATATAAAGCAAGGTTTCAAATAATCAAATAAAACGGCTACAAAATGACTAAATCAATTCTTAATTTTAGTGTTCCACATTAGGTTTGTTGCTTACTCAACCACTCACAAATGCAAACAGGTAAACTTTCTATGACATACACAAAGCTTACTGGCAATCAAAAGATTATTTCATGCATATCTCTGATATAAATACAATGTAGGCTTTCAGACCATTTACATCAGAACTTATTTTTTTTTTAAATGTAGAAGGAAGCATTAAGAAACAACTCTAAAGACTCATTCTGAATCCAAAGCCTATTTCTTTTCACTACAATATGCCATTCATTGTCCATTACAGTTATTTACTACTACAATTAGAAAGGCACAAATAACTACATCTATACTTTAATAATCAACTTTTAAATATTACCTAGGTAACTGCAATGTTTATATATTCATTTACAAAACAAAACTCCATAATTTCTAATTTCCATTGAAGTTCATATAACTCTTTGTAACAAACATGTTAAGTCTGGGAATAAAAAAGAAATTGTATCTTCTAGAGCCAACCTGAAGATACTGCTACTCTAAAAACAGGATAATATGAACATCAATAAAGACAATAATGACAACAGATTTGAGATGCAGCAAATGTTAAATCTATGAATCCATAATGATATGAAACAAAAAACAGATCATCATTAAAATATGGTGGGGCTTCAACCATTCTGATATATGACTGGTCAGAATTAATTATATATTAACTTTCCTATACAAATTATACCACTGGGTAACCAAAGATTTTTAAAGAAATATTTCAGCTTATAAATGAAATAATGATAAATTTAGAATATCAACATTTTGCATAATGGACCCAGGGACAGAGCATCAACAGCTCACCTTACAAAAACAGAAATAATCATTAGTATGTGCCTCTTAAACCGTAAATACCAAGTTTGCACCCCTCCAAAAATATAACCTGTAATGGATCATATATTTAGAGCCAATTACCAATTTAGAGAGAATACAGAGAAAAGAACCTGTCAAGGGAACCCACAGTGGTGCAATCAACAAATTCAGAGTAAAATCAACTAAATAGTCTGCAGGACAAATAACCTGATTTCTTCAACAAATAACAGAGGAGAAAAATGAGATGGAGGAAGAACCCACAGGCTATGTGATACATGTCACAACTACAGTGTGTAAACCTTATCTGAATAACCTCTGTGTGTTTGTGTGTGTGAGTGTGTGTGTGTCTCTGAACTGGAATGGAAAATCTGAACAGTGACTAATGAATAATAATAAGTATTATTATTACTAGTTAGGGAGTGGTAACACTACTGTGGTTATGTTTAACAAAGTTCTTCTGTTTTACAGATATATATAAAATATTTAGGGATAAACCAGTATGTCTAAAATTGCTTCAAAATAATATAAGAAAAGGAAATGAATAGAATGACAAATGAAATCAGATTAGGCATAAGCAATGAGTACACAAGGGTTATAAATACCTTTTGAATATTCGCAATTTTCGCAAAAAAATTATTAAATAAAAATATTAAAAGGGTAAAAAAATACATTAAAAAGTCTTTTCCCATTTTTCTCTGGAAAGAGGTCATGTCACTATCTGTCTGAAATTAGGTATAATCTCTTCTGTGATTAAAAAAGCACCACGGCTGGGGCGCCTGGGTGGCTTAGTTGGTTAAGCCACTGCCTTCAGCTCAGATCATGATTCCAGAGTCCTGTGATGAAGTCCCATGTCCAGCTTCCCCTGCTCTGCAGGGAGCCTGCTTCTCCCTCTCCCTCTGCCTGCCACTCCCCCTGCTTGTGCATGCTTTCTCTCTCTCTGTCAAATAAATAAATAAAATCTTTGGGGGAAAAAAAAAGCACAATGGCTACATATTATACCTCAATAGCTATGAGGCCCACCCCCTCAATGTAACACATTTACTGATATTTAAGTTTTAAAAAGAATGGATGTTTCTCGGTGCTATATACATGTGTCTGGCAAAAAACTGTTGGAGAAAAAACACATACCTGCATGACTGTTGAAATGTGCAAAGTTAGCAAAATTGGCTGTAGCTGTTGACTGAGGTGCTGGAGCAGCAAAGATGTCCGAGCCAAGATCACTTAAAAGGTCAAACTGCTTCTTTTCCTGCTGCTGCACTTGAGAGCGACCTACAACTGGGGACTATAAACCACATATTAACTATAAAGAGCTTCTGGTCAGTTCAGGTACATTTTTATAACACTATTTCCAATTCACCACGTTTAAAACACAGTTTTAAAGATTACATAATCTTTTACTTGTAGTCTTGAATACTTTTGATATTTTCAACATCTATTCCCAAATTCTCTCTCAATTCTAAGTGCAAAGTCAAAGGCAAAGACATACTGTATTACAACAGTTGTTACACCTTCTAACAAAAGACAGACTTACTGCTAAGAGCACAGTGATGAGACTTTCACAAAACACATCCTTTATATGATGGGAAGAGTACAATTATTTTTTACTCCAACCTCTTGTGAAAACTGTTAATTTTATCCAGATGCCCAAGTGTGCATTATTAAAAACAGTAGGCTTTAATTCAAATAGTACTACACCTCAGAACTACTCTTGCGTAGGACAGACGTTGTAAGCCAGACAGGAATGAATCTGTCATAGCTGAATCAATTCTAATAAAGTGCAGAAACACAAACTTTACCAAGTTATGAAAAGACTTCGGTCTGTTTAGTTTTTTAAAATAAAGTATATAGGGGCGCCTGGGTGGCTCAGTGGGTTAAAGCCTCTGCCTTCGGCTCAGGTCATGATCCCAGGGTCCTGGGATCGAGCCCTGCATCAGGCTCTCTGCTCCGCAGGGAGCCTGCTTCCCTTCCTCTCTCTCTGCCTGCTTCTCTGCCTACTTGTGATCTCTGTCAAATAAATAAATAAAATCTTAAATAAAATAAAATAAAATAAAATAAAATAAGGCATATAAAGCAAAGCCACCTGTGTTTCAATGATAAACATACTTCACCATCAGGCAGGGAGAAAATTCTACTGCTTAAGAAATTCCTTCTTGTGAAAGTCCACTGCAGAGACTATTCTGCTCTAACAATGACGGTCACCATACACACGTTTTACTAAATGTATGTTATATGACAGCTAGCTATTAACAACATTCCTGTATATCTTTACAAACCTGTGGAGCATTCAAAGAAACTCTAATTTGCAGTAGCAAAAGGGAACAAAAATATGCACTTTTCAACCACTTAACCAAGGTTCTTTTAACTTATTATAAACCTTTAGGACAGAATGCTATTGGCATATAAGTTTATGCTACTGTCTTAAAGAATTCTCAGATTCATGATACTCACTAACCTCCTTAAGTAGAAGCCTCTACAAAGACTTAAGACTACTCACCTGACTAGGTGTGCCCTTATTTAAGTGCAGTGCTGGTGCTGAATCTCCTAAAAGAGACTTCAGTGGTTTGACCTCAGGTGTGCTGCTTGTGCTACTGGCAGAGGACCCTGAAATAGATGCATGAACTGATGCCACCACTTTGGCTTGTTCTGGAGGGACATACCTAAAACATATGAAAAATTAAGTAGGTAGTTAACTTAAAAAATGTAGGGAATACTATGCTTAAAAATGATAGACTTAATTATAATTTTTTATGAGACTACTTCAACATTAATCTTATTTCAAAATCCTCTTAGAATTGCTAGCTCCAGACTGTATTTAATTGAAATACTCAAAAAGGGTAATAAAGACTAACTACAAATCTTGTTTCAATTATTTACTTATAATTTTTCTAAGAAAATAAATAAAATACTGTTTTTTTTTAAAAAAAGATAACCTACAGTTAATCTTCATGATGAACAGTTAAAACTCTTAATTTTTAAAAACTAAACTATCAAAAGATCATAAATAACATTTGGGAAGAGAGCAGAAGAATGGGAAAATATTTATTATATTACAGTTAACAGTCTAAAATATAAAAGTCTATTACATATCTAGGAGAATAACAACGTAATTTTTAAATAAGCAGAAACAATTCACAAATGGAGACAAAGAAATGAAAAACACTTGTAAAACTCATAAAAATGCAAATTAAAATATCATTCACATTTGCTCTAAGCATAAATTTTATGAATTTTGTTATTTCCTATTAAAATATATAGATAAGTATGCTCTGTGTCCCAGAAATACAACTTCGGGATTAATGGATAAGTAACACAGATACACGTGCATGCATGTTATCAGCTCTTTTTATAATTTCAAAAAACTGGCCACATATCAAACATTCATCAGGAGAAAAATACTTAAAGGGGTTATGTTAACATCTGTATAATAAAATGCTACATAGCTACTCTTGTTCTAACATGGAAAGATATCCCTAAGACTTCACAGGTCTTTCCGGTTTGTTCTCAGTCATGTAAATACAAGATTTACAGGAGGAAGAGCATAAAGACAGGAAAAAGAGGCAGTAAAAACATAATGCCCAAACACTGCCAATGCTAATCTCCACGGCTGGGATCATGCGAGAACTATAGTTCTACTTCTAGGTTCTGTCCCACCCTACCCTTCTCCCCACCCATACCCCCAATATTACTCGGGGGACACGGGAAAACACAGTGGTTAAGAGCATCTATATGTTCTAGAGACAGAGTTCTAATCCCAGCTCTACCACTCGACAGCTATGAAACCTAAGGCAAACTACTTCACCTTCTGTGCCTCCAATTTTTCATCTATAAAATGGAGATATAGTTGCTAGGAGGTTTAACTGAGTTAACATTTGTAAATACTTAGAACAGTTTCTGGTACAGGTTTATTAGCTATATAATTGTTAGCTCTTACCAAATTATATGACAATGACAAACAATACAACTGCTTTCCCAATAAATGAGACAGATGTGATATGAAAATGGAAACAGGAAGTTATGCCTTTCCGTAATTTGGTGTATTCACTGATATAAATTTTTGAGTACAGTCAAATCTCATCAAAGGATACAACCAGATAATACCTATTTGGTTCAAAACACTCACCTGACTAAAAGTAAAGCAACTAGGCTTGTGTAGCATAGGAAGTGAGTTTGAAAACTGGTCAATTTCAAAACCCCTTCAGATTTAAGACAATAACCTCAAGGTGTTAAGTACAGTGAGGATTTTTAGAGAGACTGCATTTGGCTAGTGCTTATGTCATGTTAAAAATCCACTGCACTGCTCTCTCATTACATTGTCCCAGGGATGCAGAAGTGTGAGTTTAAAATGCACAGGGCCTGGCCCATCTAGGGTATAGGTGCCCATCTTTCAACTGTGTATTTGTTTTATTCTTGTCATTACCACCCTGTTTCTCAGGACAGAAAAAGTAACATGAATCACAATTATTTGAGGTTAACCGTTATTTGGGTTACGGTCTGAATTAATAATTTTATTATTATCATCATAAAACGCAAGAAGGGAATCAATGGTTTTAAATCTATTAACTCTTACTAATGCACACTTTTCTTTTGCTGCTTAAAAGATAAACCATCTGAAATCCCATCTAAGTTCTATTCAAACAACTTTCTGAGTTGGTAAAACTGTTGGGAAAAAATCAAAATTAGGCTATAGCTATGCAAGGAGAAAGGTCTAACTACAGGATACAAGGTCTTGGAAATTAAGAGCTAAAATGATAGAAGGATAAATATATACTTCATTTTAAGAATCATTCATGCCACCATGTTTTTACTATTAGTCCACCCTCAAAGATTTTCTTCTTTCTTGATCTAAAATTTTACTAGTATAGGGGTGCCTGGGTGGCTCAGTTGGTTAAACATCTGCCTTTGGCTCAGGTCATGATCCCAGAGTCCCAAGATCAAGTTCCAGATCAGATTCCCTGCTTGGTGTGCAATCTGCTTCTCTCTCTGCTCCTCGCCCCATCTCATGCTCTCTCACTCCCTCTCTCAAGTAAATAAATAGAATCTTTAAAATTGTACTGGTATGTTTTTATCTCCATTCATACTGAATATATCCAGTGCTGCTGAATATAGCCCTGGCTATGGCTAATCTTGCCTTGCAAAAAGTAGTCTCCTCTAGAGAACAATAAGAATTCAAAGTTCACAGAGCACACAAATCAAAGCCACTTCTTTCTACTGTGCTCACTGAATGAAAGTAGAGATATGCCACCCATGAACCATAGCAAGTACTCCCTTAGGATCCCCTGGGTTAAAATACAGCTCCTCAGGGAAACAAGAAACCATTTACTTCCTCCTTATCTATTCCCCCTAGTTGTGACTCTCTCATTAATCTTCTTAACTCCCCAAGAAAGAAATATATACCAATGAATAAAGAGTCTTAGTAAACTGAATTGTGTTAATATAGCTAAAAATGATGATTCCGGAGTAGGTGAATACTAGTTTTATAGACCTATTTCCTGCTCTTCTTTTTAAAGGGCTTTACCAGCCACACGTTCAACCTGTTCTAGTTTCTTTTTAAAAATTAACATCTGATGGATTTAGTCAGGGGAGCATAAAGGCTCCCTTCTTAACCAGGTAGTAAGATGATTTCTTGGGTGAGAAGTGAGGATATTTTGAGCAAAGACTTAACTGCAAAATGCAATTAAGTGGATGGATTACTACACAAGAGCTTTAGCACAGTGCTTAGTATATAAAAGATGCTAAATACTTGCTAAATGAACGACGAATGATGATTTTAAGAAAGAGGCTGTATAAAACTAGAATGTCTTGAGAAGCTACTAGGACTACAGAATGATTAGAAGGAAGGATCCCTAACTTTCCAAAAAATGGTAGGAAGCCTGGGGATAAGCAACAAGCCGCTGTCTGGCAGAGGTGACTTAAGTAGAAGTCAAGGCTTTTAGAAACCAAATCCAATAAAATGCCAGAATATAATAAGGATCAATCTACCTGCACACCTATTTCCTCATTTCCTATCTACCTGAATTTCCTTCCTTTGTTTTCAGATTAATCTTACCCATAATTAATGTGAATTTGGGAGCCTTTGCTCTAAATACAAACTATTCACTCACCATCTTTTCTTTTCATACTTTTCTTGTAGGAACTCTTTCACTTTTTGTGGATCCCTGAAGTCTGGAATTGCTGAAGATCTATCATCAAATAATCCTAGCCAAATCTGTTTACAGACCTTTGGAAAGAATTAAAAAAACAAAAGTGTTAAATTCAACATCTTAACTTAATGAAATTTTAAGGGAAAATTAGGATTCTTTCAGAAAGCTAACCTACTTAATACCACTGCTTTCAATGAGAATATTTATCACAAAGAAAAATGAAGCAACGAATGAAGTAAATTTATTTTAATATATTCCAATATGCAATAAAATCTTAGCAACGGTATAAAAAATTAACACCTCACAGGGAAACAACTAATGAAATGGGATTTGAGGGGATCTGGGACTTTTTGGTCTTGAAACGACCATAAACTGTAAGCCCTGAGCAAAGTTGTTACTTTTATAAACCTCTGCTCCTTCACCCCATAAAAGAGAGGAATTAGATCAGCAGCAATTTCATGGATCTTTGACAGATTTAAAAATCAACCAAAAAAGGGGTGCCCAGCTGGTTTCAGTCAGTAGAGCATGTGACTCTTATTTTAAAAAAAAGATTTATCTATTTATTTGAGAGAGAAAGAGAGCGCATGCATATGCTTGAACAGCGGCAGGGAGTGGGGGCACAGAGGGAGAGGAAGAAAGAGTCTTAAGCAGATTCAGCATTGAGCATGGAGCCCGACATGAGGCTCAATCCCACGACCTGAGATCACAACCACAGCCAAAACCAAGAGTCAGACACTTAACCAACTATGCCACCCAGATGCCTCTAGATCATGTGACTCATGATCTCAGGGTCGTAAGTTCAAGCCCCATGTTGGATGCAGAGATTAATTAAAAAAAAAAAAAAAAAAATAAACAAAAAAAAAAAAAAACCCCAAATATAAAGTACTAGAATCATAAATAATTAAAGTACAATAACAAAAATACAAGGCAGATACAACTCTAGCTTTATAATTACTTCCTATGCTTTCTTACCCCTAATGGCTAAAAAGTAAGAATCTAAGATATTTGACTTTTTAGAAAAACTACAGAAATGAAATGATGCAGAACTCATATACAACACAAAAAGAGAAGTATAAAGAATAAACTGATAAGGAGGACTTCAAAATTTACAACTATTGCTCTTTCATAAAACTTAAAAGAAAAAATGAAAAGGAAAGCCACCAACTGATAAAAAGTGTTGGCAAAATGTGTTAAGAACCTAAAAGAACATGAATCCAAAATACATTTAATAATTCTTAAAACTCAATTATAAAAAACTTTTAAGAGTGGGCAGAGAAGCTGAACAGACACTTCATAGAAGACACACATATCACTAATAAGCAGCCCCAAATCACTAGTCATGCAGAAAATTAAAACACCAAGACTCCACAGACACCCATAGATAACACTAGATGGCTAAAAATAAAAAGATTAACCATATCATGTGTTGTTGGTAACAAAGTGGAACAACTGGAACTCTCAAAAATGTTAAAATGGTACAACCACTTTGGAAGACTTGACAGTTTCTTAAAAGTTAAATATATTCCTACCTACCAGATGACCCAGCCATCCCACTTCTAAGTATTTACCCAACAAATATAAAAAACACATGTCCACACTCAGATATGCATACAATGTTCACAGCTGTTTTACAATTCTACTCCAAAGCGGAAACAACCCAAAATGTTCATCAACAAGTAGAATAGATCAATTTTGGAATACCCAAGTAGGATACTATTTAGTAATAAAAAGGAGTAAATTATTGATACAGGCCAACTACATGAATCAACCTCAAGAAAATTATGCTGAGAAGCCAGACCTCCCCCTCTAAAGTACAAACTGTATGATTCCATTCATTTCTATTTCAGAAAACATAAACTTATCAATAGTAACAGAAAGCAGATCAGCAGATACATTACAAATGGGCACAAAAAAACTGTTCAGGATAATGAAAATGTATGTTGTCTTGTCACTATAGTGATAGCTTCACATATATCAAAATTCATCAAAACTGTATAGTTTAAACACGCACAAGTTATTGTAATTAATTATTCTTCAGTAAAAGTATAAGGAACTAGTCCACAAGTTCCCAAAATTACATTATTTTAAAAAATAACCAATTATGACACTGTGAAGGGAACACAGTATCTAGCTTCAAAGAGCCCAAGAAAGATTTGAGGAATTGGAATGAAAAGCAGTAGCACACCTCTCAATCTTACCCTGTTCACTGAAGTGAGTAAGGGAGAAAGAAAAGAAAAAGGACACACCCTTTTCCTCTATCTGTACCCCAAGCATGTTTCAAGACAAACTTTCTTGTGGTTCCCTCCTACTCCAGGCTCAATACAGATACTATACCATCATTAAGGCAGTCTAGCTGACACATGTTAAGTTCTAGGCTAAGACACAGTATCATTATAAAAATTTTTCAGTGGCAAAGCCCAAGAAGTGCAGACCCCCAGAAATGGTGATGCAACTTACTGCCAGAAATAGTATCAACCCTGTAGAGGGTCAGTTTCTCCAAAAACTATTTAACAACTTAAAAGGAACCACATGGGACTCTCCTTAGAAACCTGGCTAATGATTCTCCAAAAATGTAATTCTGAAAGATGCTGTAGCTTTACAATTACATATATAAAGGGGGACTGGAAGTTTCTAATTCTTCTACCTTAAAAATTCCCAGATGAGAAAAAAAGAGACATGGCAATCATTTGTCCAAAGCCAAAGAATTATTAACTGTAACTGATACAATTAGTTCAGGACACTTTACAACATTTAGTCTTTACATTCCAAAAATCCCCATTAACTACTATATACAATTTTTTAAACTACAAACAGTGAATAAATAACAAATACACAAATAAATAAAAAGAAGATGGGCTGAAGAAAGATCATTAAGTTACTGTCTTGGCACTTGTCATGGTAATATAAAGATGAAGTACTTGATGGTAAACTTTATAGATATCTGGCATCAGCAGCCTGCTCGGCCCTGCTACTCAGAATTCTGTACTAACTGCTATGGTCCTGCTCCTGCTCTTTGACTGGAAAAATCATTAAAACTAGCTGCTTTGGTCCACTACAAATTCACAATATCTCACTATCAAAGCCCCTTAATGTTAGTCAGTTCTTATTTCTGACTGTTAGCCCACAATAACTATTTTCTATATTGCTCAAAATCCTAACCGTAACTGCCACTCTTATCAGTTAAATTTGGACCTTCATACCTAAGTGAAGTTGCTCTCAAAATGCATTCCCTAGGGGGACCTGGGTGGCTCAGTAGGTTAAGCATCCCCATCTCTTGGTTTTGGGCTCAGGTCTCCTCAGGGACCTGGGATTAGAGCTCCAAGTCAGGCTCTGTGCTCAGCAGGTAGTCTGCTTCTGGGTTCTATCTCTCCCTCTCTCACTGTCCCTCCCCCAGCTCATGTCCTCTGTCTCTAAAAAGAAATAGATGAATCTTAAAAAAAAAAAAAAAAAAAGAACAAAACATAACACAACACAACACAACACTCTCTAACTCCCTGGACCAGCAGCATCATCACCTAAGAACTTGTAAATGTAAACTTTCAGGACCCAATCAAGAACTAAGAAATCAGGACCTCAAGAGGTAGTGCCCAGCCATGTATCTCAGCAAGCCCTTTGGGTAACTAGGGAATAGGCCAAGGATTGAAAACCAATGCTTTACTAAAATCTAGGCCAGCAAATGGAAACTTCCTTTCCATATATATATACTACATATAGTTTTCAGTATTTCTTAAAATTATGTAGTCTCAGCCTATTATTGGGCAAGATTCATTTGAGAGAAAGTGTTCCAGGGACGCATCTGGGAAACTGTCAGTCTCTAAATCTTTAAGACCCATTCACATTTTAGTTCCTGAAAAGCTAGCTTCTGTTACAACCATCCTACTAAAACTGTTCTTTCAGGTTTATAGATTTTTTTGATAGAAACGTATAAAGTTCTCTTGTTTGTTTTGTTAGTAAAATAATAAATACTATCAACTGAAAAGGGACAGTTTTTTAAAGTTAAAGGAGAATGGGAGAGTGAATTACTAACACAGCAAGCAGTACTGAGGTATGTGGTCGTGAGTACTAAAATGAAACCAGTCATCAAAGTTGTGTGTTTCCCTCCAGCCTCATCTGGCTATCTAGGTACAAAGTAGTCAAGTATTGGCTTTAACCAAGGTAAAATACAACAAAAGTTAAAGAGGAATGGTTATAACAGACTAAGGAATCTAAAGTGAGAAAAACAAAGATATGGTGAGGATGATGGACAACAAAGAAGTTTAGCCTCAGGTTGTACCAAAGTTGCTGGGAGTTAGAAATTAAAGGGAATGAGCTGGAAAGAAAAAAGTGGAGGTGCTCAGAGAACAGGATGCTTGAAACTGAACTCTGAGAGGTGATTCAATTACTGATAAATAAAAAATCTAAAATAAGATGCAGGGTTATTAAAGGTTAAGAAGCCAAGAAATTAGGAGGCCAGATTATCCATGCAGATACTAAGATTGGCAGAAATGATTAACACTAGTAGAAAAGACACTAAGTAAAAAGCTAAAATCTATAATGAATGAGGGGCCTCAAAGGTATATAACTGCAACAAGAAGCCACAGCAGTTGATAAACTATTTGCATGAGAAACATGCAGCTAGAGGACCAGAAACGCCACTGGGGAGCAAGAATGATCCGAAAAGTCACCATCATCAAGAGCTGCACTCATGACGTAATTAGTTTTGATAATCTCTTTGAGGGAGGTGGATAATCAGCTCTAATTATAGAATAATGGGATGGCTGGGTAGTTCAGAGCCTAGACTAGGGAACCAGACAGCCTGAATTTGAATTCCAACTCTGTTTAGTAATAGCAGCTGCTTCACAGGGATGGTGGAAGGGTTAAATAAGTTAATAGGTGTTTTCCACTCCACAACAGGTATATATAGTGAACTTTAATTAGTATTAGTTATTACTACTTTCAGAGGTGGGTTATGGTACAATAAAGTGAGCAAGGCTAGAAAGCAGAGGTCTCCTCAAGAACACAGGAACTATGAGTCTCCCTTCTCTCCTGCTACAGACAGAACCAAAGTCTTCTTGATAAAATAATCTCCCTCCTCCAA